TGAGAAACATTTTCCAACTAGAAAGAATAAGTCAAATTTAAGTAGTTATATGAGTTTAAACTTGTAGAATAAGTTAAGGCTCGTATGCCCCACTTCCTATTTATAGATAATGAAAATGAGAATTCAGAGACAATGAAATGTCAGGCTTAGAATACCTGCTGAGGGCTCAGAAAAAGTTTTCCTGATGATGAAAAAGATGCAGATTTCTATAGCAACGGAGACAGTGGGTTTTTATTTCAAAAAAACACATTTGTTCTAAACATAGGATAACAGACAAAATATAAAAAGAGAAAACTAAGAAAACAAAAGGAAGACATGCTGTCTTAAATACAGAATGTCTATATGGGCAGATGTGGAAATGTACAACAGAATAGGACTAAATAAAGCCCAAGCACGATGGATTCTGATTTATTATTGTGTGTGTTTACAAGTAGTGACCAGGAACTGGCTCCTACAGAGGAAAAGTGTCCAAAATGCTTTGTACAAGATAGGGAATAGAATCAAGCTCAACACTTGAAGCCAGGGGCTAAGTGGAACTCTTCTACTTGTATAGTGATTCTAGAAAAACAAGCCACTGTCTCTTTAGCTGACAAGGGTTTAGGGCTTAATGGAGGATGAGGCTGGAAGTGGAAAATTCCAAAATATATGAAGAAATCCACAGTAAGAAATCAGCCAATATACCTTAATATCTGGAATAGAGTACATTCCAGTCTCACCAAGTCTTTAAAATGATTAAATTGAAAGTATTTTATGAGATAAATTGAAGCATGACTTCCATTAAAACACAAACATTAAATTATACATCAAAATAAAAGAGAAGTGAAAGAAAACTAGGTGGATCTGAAAAATAACCAAATAAAAATCCTTTAAGTAAAACTGTTGGATTAAATTTTCAAAAAATGTGATAGATGGGAGAAACTGTAGACTATAAAGAAATGACAAGTAATTCATACGCTGCTGGTGGGGTACAACTCTGTACATCTACTGTGAAAAATGGTTTGAAGAATCTACACAGAGCGAAGTTACACATTATCTACAACCTAGAAATTCTACTCCTAGAGTGGTATACATATATACATCATAAGATCCGTACAGATATGTTCATATTAGCATTTTTCATAATAGCCAAATAACAAAAGCGACTCAAATGTTACCAACAAATGACTACATACTAAAGTATGGCAATGAGAAAGAATGAGACAACAGCTATATCTAACAACATAGATGAATCGCATAAACAGAATGCCGAGTGAATGAAGCCAGAGCAAAGAATACACAGTATATGACTGCAACATACATGCATCAGCTCTCTTGTATTCTCTCTTATGTTTTTAAGATATAAACTATTAAAATCATGAAAAACTAAGGTATGCACATTGAAGTGTTAGAACTATAAGAAAAGTAAAGAAGTACCTGATGGTAAAAGGGTGGTGTTTATCTCAGGGGAGAAGGAAGAGATTGGTAAGGAGTGGCCTATAGGGGTTCCTGGGTGTTGGCAGCATTCTATTTCTTGACCTGGACACAAGTCACAGGGATCTTCCCTTTCTAATAATTTATCAAGCTATACAGTGATATTTAATGCTTTCTTCTGTACGTGCCCTATATTTTACAATACGGAAAGGAATTTTATGGGTTTTTTGTTTGTTTGTTTGTTTTAAAGCAAGAATTTGGAAATGGAAGGTAGATACTGAGAAACTCACCAGGGACGCAGCACAGAGAAACAAAGAGGTTAAAAAAATATAAAAAGGGCAGTTAAGAAACATGGAGGATGGGTTGAAAGGTTCCAATATTCATCCAATAGCAATTCCAGAAGAGGATGGAGGTAATGGTAGAGGAGCAATGTTTGAAGAGATAATTGTTGAGAATTTTCCAGATCTGAAGACAGACTTGGATCCAAGTACCTGACAGGATAAATAAAAATAAATCCAAACCCAGGCACATCATAGTAAAACTACAGAGCATCAATGATAAAGAGATGTTAAAAAAAACTCTTAGACAATAAACCAGATTATTTACAAAAGAACCACATTTAGACAATAGATGAAGTCTCATTAGCATAAAAAACAGCCAGAGGGATCGGGATAAATAATTGTTAATCTAGGATTTTATATTCATTCCCAAATGAGGGCAAAATAGAAAACATAGGCTTACTATACTACATTCTTACTAAAAGAACCATAAAAGGATGTCCCTCAGCAAGAAAAAAATGTGGATGAGCATATAAAAGGTGTGAGATGAAAGAAATGATAGTGGACACAGAAATGGACAAAAAAGTCAATGAATGTGATTTGACTCTTGACTGTAAGAAAAATATTACTAATTATTATGTTGAAGGAAACGGGGTATATGAAAACTTTTAACAATATGATTGTTATAAAGTGGTAAGGAGTAAAGCATTTGAGGTCCTCATCATGGTTGGGGGATTAAACATACTAAACAGCTATACATGTAGAAAAGCATGAAGTTAAATAGTAACTTAAAAATTCAAAGGTATACACAAAAGAAAATCACCAACCCCCCCAAAAAATTATATCGTACTGCTTTCAAAGCAGCAGAAAATGAAAGCAGCCTCAAAGACTGAAGATGGGTTGTTATAGTTTCAGTTTTTAAAGAGGTTAAAGAGTAAAAATTTAATATCCTGGACTTCTAAGCATAACAGTTTATCAAACTAAAGACATGATTATTAAATATATGTTTAGTAAGTATACAAAAAGAATTAGTATTAATTTACTGAGAAAAAGTTTTATCAAGCAAGCATGATTTCCTACCCATTTAAAAAAATTTAAAGCTATTTAATTCCAAAAACAAAAATTATAAAAGCATATAAAAGGGAAAAAGGAAAAAATCCTACATGCCACTATAAAACATGGTAACATATTTGCTTGTGTGTGGTAGTGTTGCCTGCTACGTCTAGGACTGCTAAGTTAGCAGATAAAAGAGGGGACATAGGCCAGTTGCAGTGAAAACAATCTCCAGACTTGGAAGAAGATGGGACAGTGGGGTGGCTCAGGAATGGAGGCTTTGATGTTCAAAAAATCTGGATTTGTATCCTGGATCTGCTAGTTATTGGCTGTCAAGTTACCTTGACCAAGTGACTCCAATTTCACTTCTCTAATTTCAGACTGTGTGTAAAACTAGAGGATAAGGACAGTGTAACTAAGTATGTTGTCATGTGATCTAAAGACACTTCCTCAGCTTTAACATTCTATGAGTTTAAAAGAAAGAACATGAATTGAAAAAATCATAAAGCATATGCTTGTTAAGTCTCCAGGTGAGACAAAACTAGAAGAGTAACAGTAAAGAATGAAAACAAATTCAGACAATATCAGAATATGCTTAACTCACTATCATGAAATTAAACAGGAAGAAACAAAGACCTTAATTTAGATTAACAAAAAATTATATACACAAATATGCAATGGAGCAGACTTGGTTTGACAATGATTCACTTGAGAGATGGCTCCTGGGGCCAATGGTATGAAGGAGTTACTAGATTAAATTAATGAACTCTCAGGCTAGAGTAGCACTTACTACAGTGAGAGAGGCACAAATCATATTGCTGAGCACAGGTCAGACCACATATTGTATTCTGTTAAGGAAGATGCTGGTGAACTGGAATCCATCTAATAAAAATATCTCAGAACTGCCAAGCATCTAGAAAATGAGAGAAGGACATTGGGGCAATTTTTCCTGGGGGAAGAAAGCTTAAATTGATAGCTGCATCCTAGTGTTCTGATACTCTTTGACAGGTGACCTCCATTCATCCCTTGAGGTGTTATTAAGAAGCAGTTTTGGTTGCTATCTTCAAACAGAAGTTGGATGGCTACTGGTGAAGGAAACAAGAGAAGGCTTTTCTACTGGGTGGGAAGTCAAGACTAGGTGACCCCTGTCCCTGAGGCCTTTGGCCGGTCTAAAGTGTCTAAAAACTAATTGCTAATTGTCTCCAGTGAAAGGAAAAACAACTACTGTCATTGTCGGTAATACTGATTGCCTGCATATTCTAATGTGCCTAGCCCTGGGCTAAGCACACTCCATCAGGCAGAAGATAGAAGGAGAGGGCTCATACGACTTTTAGTTCTGAGAAATGTTAAGATACCTTTAATACATAGAGCAAGTATTTCACAAATTCTTCTCTCCAAATAAGAGATTGTGTTAGGGGAAGATTATGCACATTATGGAGGTAAAGTCAGAAAATCTAATTTTTGTCATGCTCTAGGTCTAACAACTAAGAAAATGTTTACCTGCAAGTAGAAGTCTAAACCTTGGACCAAATTATTATCAGGCACTCCAGGAAATGAGCCTTGATAAGTTCTCAGATCATCTGTACACGTGCATGTTACAATGCAGCCATTCCAAAATTAACTATACAGAAACACTACGAAATGTGTCTTGACAAAAAGAATGCCGTGTCTCCGACTTTATAAATACGTTTCTAATGTTTCTCATACCAATTTACCACATCCTATAGACATACGCTAACATAATCCTACTATAATTTACAAACACGTTTGAGACAAACATTTCCAGTTATAAATGGAATAAACTGCTTCACTTTCTTTCAATATCAACATGTTACATAACACTTATTTTAATGGGAGAAAAGTAGAATTGTTCTGCCTTTTTCTGCCCAGTGGCTCTCTTTGGAACACTGGGGCATTTTAGTTATGAAAACATAGCATTTGAAATTGAAAGAAATGTTAAGAGAGTAAGATATTCACTTTATTAAACTTCAGAGATAGAAAACCTTAGATTGCAGAGTAATCAAGATAGTCCCATGGTGATACAACTAATTGCTATAACTGAAGGGATAATGTGATATAGTCTCTTGGGGGCTCTGACCCCAGTTCAGTCCCAAATTCTTTCCACTCAATCAAAGGCCAAGAAAAAAATGAAAAATTTTCAGTCCAATATATTAAAATTTACCGTAAATGGTGCTAGAGAATATTTTAATTTTCATGAGCTCTAAAGGTCATATCATTCATTGACTGAAAAGAACTTACCTCCAATGCATAATATACTGGTTTGTCTCTGCCAAGTTTGTAAGCCACTGTGGTTAGAAGACCATGTTCAGAAAATACACACTGTAGGAAAGAAAAAGAGATTTCAGTATGGAAAGAATGAAAAAATAGCATGAGAAAATCTGTAAAGCTAAAACGACAGACACAAAGTAATCAAGTCAATAAATCAATTTTAAGAATAACTCTTACTCAAAACTATCAGTATTAAGAACACACTTAAGCTGTACAAAAAAGTTATTACTTGTTCCAAATCAGATCTACATTAAGAATCGGGTAAGATCACCATCAAGATTTCCCACCAACACAATTAAAAACACACATACAAAATTAAAAGAACACGAAATGGTTTTTACTAGAATTCCAATTTAATGATTTTAATCATTTTTATTAAACTCTAAACCCTGATCAAGATTTTGCAAAACTTTGAAATTATGCAAAAGTCACTGAACAGCAGATTATATTCAAGCATTATTTATATAAATTTGAAGAATTCCATCAATCTTCTAATTTAAAACAAAAGCCAACCTTATGTCCTGTGTTACATAGTAGGAAACATCCTGTTCCATACCTATAAGTGGGGAAAAGAGTGAACAGTATGATGATTTTATTAAAGCAAAGGATAAACATTAATAATATAAATGACCTAAAATGACATTTAATTTAGTACAATAAAAGCCATTACACTAATATTAGATAACTTTACTCTTTATGGAAGAACATTTCAAAGATCAGCCTAGAAGAAAATGTACTTAGTGCAACCTTAATGGGAAAGAATGCAGCTATAGTACTTAGCATTTAGTCAGTCACAGCCCACGACTGTGTTTACTGAATTATAACAAATTCTATGTTCTGTCACAGTTATATTACTACTAACTTACATGGAGTGAAGCATCATGACTAACAGCCATTCACCAATGGAGCTGGCGAGCTTGGATCTACCATAAATATTGTCATAAACTCAAAAACACCACTGTCTTCAGGCAGGGTAGGGAGGCTAGACATAGAGTGTGAGAGAGTAGAGTTGAAAACCTGGGGCTTTAAAAGTGGCATAGGAAAAAAATGCTATTGAAGGTCGATCTTTCCTATTCTCCCTGCAGGACAGAGTGGGCTAATCAGGGCTGTAATGTAACATGGTTGATACAGAAGAATTTATTTTGTGGCAGTCTTATCGGTATAAGCTTTGCATTATGCAACAAGTCTGCCACTTGGACATTAATGAGTAGTTTTGACTTGTTCCAGGCAGATAAGTGTTCCAAACTGATACCAGTAATGGTCACAGAGAAACAGTTTTCAATTGAGTTGGGATAACAAGGCTACGACAGTCACCATTAGCTCTGCCCAAGCTCAGGATTCCCTCCCACAAGTCTTACTATTGTGCGCTGTGCTACTGCAGTTCTAACTGTGCTGGTGACATCCCAGAAGGTAGGACAAGGGACAATGCTGAGTTCAGGGGCTAGCAGAAGGATCTTAGCAGAAGCTACTACCTGTCACCTGACTTGGTAGTCAACAGGTCATGCGAGCTGCCTTTTTCTTGGGCAACAAAAGTGAACCAAAGGTAGTTTTTTCTGATTAATATTTTCTTTAGGCATCACTGTTCTGAATAAGCGTTGGCCCAAGATACTCCATCTTCCCTTACTCAGGTAAGATTCTTGGCCTGCTTGATGAAGAGGTGACACATTCCGGGATCACAGGACTAATGAAATAATGAAGTTCGTAAAGACATGTGTTAAATAACACTAGGTATATGTATTACACTTACAAATTAAAACACATAAATCACTCTGCCTTTTACTACCATATTGTTAAAAAAGCTAAGTTTCAACTTAATCTCTCTTAATAAATATTCATAGAGGGGTGAAGGGAGGGCAGGGGTATGGGGAAAAAATGAGAACCAAGACCTGTCATGTAAAGGTACAAGATCCCAATGATGAATGTAACTGTACTGTATACCTATAAACTCAATGAGGAATAAATAAGTAAATATTCATAAAATTAAAGTTAATGATCATTTCATGCTTTTTAAAGGGAAATTCGAACCAATTCAGCACCCATATAAGCACTATATTGAATGATTATATACTAATTTTAAAGTACAAAATTGATAAGAAGGCTCAGGGCATTTAATAAAAATGAATTCTTAAATTAATGCATTTAGTAAGTACTGATGGCTATTAATGTAAGAACAGAATTCTTTGCTACCTGTAGACCATGGCTTTCAAAGCAGTCAACTATTTTTGTTTTAAGTTATATTATTCCATCTTCCCAGTCATTAAGCATATATGGAACTTTCAGCATTTATGTGGTCCACATAACCTGTCTCAACAGTTTGCTGTGTTCAAACACTCCAGAAACGTATCTGACTCTTCTACCTTCTTCAGAGGTAAAGGGTGCCTGATGACCTTCAGGACTACTAGGTTAGGACTGAGCAGCCTGGAGATGTGTGCTAATGATGATCTATAGGGGCAGGGTAAGGGGCCCGTGGAAATGCTAGGAAGAAGCTAAAAGACTTTTACAACTATGCAGCACCTCTGGGGAGATAAGGTAGCTACCTCAAGTTCTCTTTTGAAAAATGAAATTTAATGTCCAAAAACCTCGGGTTTGTTTTAGAAAAAGTCATTGGAAATTACAAGCTAAAATAAGAGAGAAATTGAGGCATCTATTTTTCCTCGTGTTGAAATAGAGATAGGCTTTCCATCGAACACTGAGCTGCCTGTCACTTTCTCCCCACTGAAGTTGGAAAAGTTTTGACTAAATGCTCAATCTCATTCTCTCCAACCTCTTAGGACTTGTTTCTGTCCATCACTTCTCTCCCATTTATTCTATAACATCTGCCTTTTCTTTGCTCAGACTCCAAAGAAACACTCTCTGGTCTTGCCATAACTTCAAACCAAAACTAAAACTCCCAAAATGTCACATGATTCTGTGAACCTCACAAACTATGTACTTCTCTCATCATTCCTGGATGGTTACATTTCTGTGACACACATTCTATCTTCTTGTTGATTTATATGTACTCACACTTCCTTTGACCACTTGAAACTTGGCTCCCATCTTGAGCACCATTCTAAACCTTCATTCTTGGAGGTCACCAAATGAAGAACTAATCTCTCTATACAATGGTGTATTTTCAGTTTTTAGGCTATATAATCTATAGTACAGTGGTTGGCACTGTTATCCATGCTTCCCTTTTCAGCATCTCTATGCTGGCTTTCCACATTAATCAACACTGCATTCTCTGTTCTTGACTTCTTTATCCTAGTTTATCCTATTTCTCCTAAACACCTTTATCTGTACACTTATTCTTTTTTTGTTGTTTGTGTTTTTTTGAGACAGGGTCTCACTATGTAGTTGAGACTGACCTGGAGTTCACTATATAGCCCAGGCTGGTCTCAAACTCACAGTGATCCTCCTGCCTCAGGCTCCCAAATGCTGGGATTACAGGCCTGTGCCACCACACCTGGCTTGTACACTAATTCTTGATAATGCCATTTACTTTTATTTTTAAAATTTATTTTTATTGGTACATGTTTGTGATACATAATAAATACATTCATGGTGGGAAATTGGTAAATATACAAATGGCATCCTGATCCTTTCTGCTTTCCCTCCAACTTCCCACTGTCTGCTTTTATTACTTCAAAACCTCATCTTTATAGGAGAATAAAAAATCTCTCACCATTGGGCCAGGGATTTAGCTCAATGGTTCTGCCTCCTGTCTTGGAAGGGGCAAGGTCTTGAGTTCAATCCCTGGCACACACAAAAAAACAAAACCTCAACATTTATACCAAACTCATTCTATATTTCCAACTGTGTGTGATACTCTTGCTAACCAGAAAATAATCAGCCTTGAAAGCTACAGATAAAAAGAACCTCCATGAAGGGCCAGGCATGTAGCTCAGTGGTGCCACATCTGCCTGGAGAGCGCAAGGTCCTGAGTTCGATCCCAGGGGTCGGAGGCTTGCTTTACCTGCCATTTTAGAGTAGTCACTAACCAAGAGAATTGTGAGGTCTACTCTTCTGTATGACACTGGGCATCACCATGGTAACAATCAGCACTTATTTTCTGGTTAGGTCTTATTTTCAAGGAAATATTGTACATAACCTAGCAGCATCACAAAAGTACTTCTAACAGAATTCCTTCTACTTAGACCCATTCTTTCCTTTGGCTAAACTTAACTGCTGTGTCCCAGGACCCAGACTTAGTAACTGCTTGCCTTGCCACTCTGAAGCTTGCTCTGTTCCCATTCTCTGAATTCATGTCCTCGTTACTGGGATGAATAGTGTCTTCCTCCAGGGACTCTTTGCCTCTAGTCTCTTCTCCCTTTGACCCAAGACTTGTGTTATTGACAACTCCAGTCATGTATGAACACCAACTCATAAACCTTTGGAAGTTTCTCACTGCCTGTCAAGAAAAAAAACTCATTGGCCTGAAATTTAGGACTTTGTAACACCATCCTACCCCTATTCTCTAGTACTTCCTTACCACAATGTTCTCTACATTCTCAAACATTGTCAATTTTCCTGTTTGTTTATTTGTTCAAAGTTTCTTGCATTCACCAATACTGCTCATTCTTCAAAACAACTTGTTACTAACATAATCTTTGGTACCTTTTTCCCTCTTACTTTGAAACCCAACAGAATTACTAGAAAATTTCTTATGGTACCTGGTCCGGATGATATTAACTGCATACCTGTGTTCTTTCCCTTCAGAGATCAAAATCTTACAATTTGTAATTTTTCTCCTTATGATCTGCAGGAGCTACAGAAGTACTCAAACAAGCACTCTATAATTTCAATTAATCATTTAGGGATTTGGCTGTTAATGCTTAAGGAGAGGAATAGAGAGAAGAGGAAACAGGCTATTTTATTGGGTCCCACCATATGACATTTAGATATAGCATCTGAGTTATTAGCATTAGTGTTCCTGGCAGAGGAGGACAAAACAGAAAAAATAGCCTAGTGTTCTGTAACTTCTGATTCATCTGCCTGGAACCCAAATTCAAAGAATACATTCCCCTATTCATGCTGACTAAAGTGCTCCCATAACCTCAGGTTATTATGACCTATGAAGAATTTTCATATCCCTTCTCCCCAATAAATTCCCAAATTATGTCACATTCTCACATGAGCACTGCTGACCCTGATAGACTACAAAGAACATACATTCTAGAAATGTTAATATCCCATTATTCACAAAAGGACTTAATCACTGAAGTTGTAATTCATGTGAGAATTAGGAAACCCTCATAAGAACTATTAAATATACTCTCTTGCCAGGCCTATGGAAACTTCCCCTACATAGGGACAATAAATAAAGAGGTAAAGAGCCCCAACTAAGGAATGAGAGGAATTCAGGTGCAAATAATATCTCCCACTTACCAGCTGCATGATATTAAAAAAATTGATCTATGAAATGGGAATAATAGGATTTGTATAGGATTAAATGATATCATGTCTAAAATACATGGGACATGATGTATTATACATTAGCCATTGGCTGAGCATGTGCTATAATTATCAGTATTATTTTAGCTTTTGGGGCATATAATATATGTGATTGGTGTTTTTTTTTTAATGTTTACAAGAGTAGCCACAAATAGTATAGTTAATGATATAACAGGAAAAAAAGAACACCAAACTCAGAATCAGAAGGTTTAAGCCTGAAATGTGGCTCTGCCTTTGAATCAAGGCTATGGCCTTCTGCAAGCACTTGACCTCTCTGAGCATTAGTTTTCTCATCCCAAAGTGGGAGTCATCTTCTCACTACTCTTTTAGAAACAGGGCTGAATGAAAGGTAGTAAGAAGATTAGGAGAAAAATGCTCAGATTTCTACTTCTTTCTATTTCTTGTCAGAAGAGAAACTGCAGATAAGAGGGGGGAAAAGCACCAGGTGTGCTGGCACATGCCTATAATCTCAGCTACTCGGGAGGCTAAGGCAAGAGGATCTCAAGTTCGAGGCCAGGCTGGCAACTTAGTGAGACACTATCTCAAAATAAAGAGTTTAGGCTGGGGATGTAGTACAATGCTCCCAGAGTTCAATCCCCAGTAACACAAAAATAAACGAATGAATAAATAAAAAATGAAAGGAGAAAGAGTTGGGTTAAGAAACAACCTTGAAGATACCATAAAAATGACTTCATTGTTATGGTGAGAAAAACTTGGGACAGAAATTACATGCTGAAAACTGTATTTCAAATCATGACTCTTCTTCACCTCTTCCTAGTTGTCCCTCCTGCTCTCAGTATCTCTCTTCAAAAAAGGCAATAATATTTGGAACCAAAATATAATTCCTGGAGTGGAAAAGGCTAGGAATTTTATAAATTGAGATCATTACAAGCTATATCTGGCTAGGCATGGTGGCTCACGCCTGTAATCCCAGGACTCAGGAGGCTGAGGCAGGAGGGTCACTGTGAGTTCGAGACCAGCCTGGGCTACATAGTGAGTTCCAGGTCAGTCTCAACTACATAGTGAGGCCCTGTCTCAAAAAAGCCAATTAATCAACCAAACAAACAAGCTGCATCTGTGTGTTTACATATGGTGCGGTGTATTTCATTTGAAGGAGATAAAAAAAATGGTAAAATAAAATGTGTATATCCATACTGGTATGATTAATCTATTGATTTCTGGCTTAGATGAACTTCAAAAGCTTTCTATCAAAGCACCAAAGGGGAGAAACACACAAGGGAGCATTAGTTTTGAAGTTTGTTTTTAAACTTACGTGTTTTTGGCTTGTCCATCCTGGAAGCACATTTGTCCTACCAAAGCAGCAGACTGGTCCCCCAAACACTGAAAACATAAATGACATCACTACTAATTTCCTTTTCATAAGGATTTACTTTTCTTATTCTATTTATTAAGGAATAAATTGTCCTTATATTTCTTCCATTTGGCCATTTCCCCATTTGTTATTACCCCAAAAGACAACAGGTATGGGAAGAGAGAGGATTAATTTCTTCAAAAGATCCTCAATAACCCATACTACATCACATAAGAACACAAAATCAGTCCGTTTTGTTGCTCTTACTATCCTTTCTAGTTTAGGAAGGGGCTCAATGATTAAGATAGAGGAGGAAAGTTACAACATAGGGCGGAGATAGGGAAGTGGCATGGAGATATTTGGTGATGAAACTTACCCCAGATATTGGCACACCTTCCAAGGCCCCAGCTTTCTAATAAAAATTTTAAAAAGGATTATGAACAGTCACAAACGTTGGCTCTACTAACATAATCAACGGGAATGAACACAAAGTGCAACGTGCCAGAGGACATGAGCAGTCAAGACAAAGCAAGTGTTTCAACTACATGAGTGGTACAGAGACAGATACTAGAAGTATTCCTAGAATGACAAGAGACATGATACTGGAGAATGAACATGGAACACTGGACTGGGAGTTGGGAAACACAGAATCTATTTCTGGTTAGTTGGTGTTAGGCCACAAGCAGGCTGCTGAAACCTCTCCATATCGTAACTCATTTACTTGCTACATGAAATGACTACATATCTTTATATAACTAGCAAACCAGCATGGAATATATTTTTTGGAAAGGCTGCATTTGATCAACTTTTCTTTTTAGTCAAGCTGCTCTTAATTAAGAAACAAGAGTGTTCAGGTATTGAATATTTGTTCATAGCAAACTTCATGCTTCGAATCTAAATAAGTAACAGCTAATCTATGTCATGAACAATGGCTTTTATTTTGATTAATATGGCCAACATTTTAGAAGAAAAATGAGGTTTAAGTAGCTAACTGTGGAGTTTATAAACTTAATTTTTAAGAAATATACACTAAGGTTAGGGGTGTAGCTCAGTGGTAGCGCTCTTGCTTAGCATGTGCAAGACCTTGGGTTCGATCCCTAGTACTACCAAAAACAAACAAAATAAGCAGCAACAACAAAAATAACCTATAACACAAAGCAAGTTTTACCAATTTTGAGGAATCAGGGGGGTTAGGGCCAATGATTCCCAAAGTAATGGTGACATACCAAGAACACCAAATTAAAGCTTTGAGCTCCTCTGCCTCACATTTGTGAGCAAGTCTCCTTGGCCCAGGGAGCTTTGGGCACCCTTGTGAAAGTGAAGGTAAGAGCAGAAAGAATCTGCATCATCTAACTATAATGATAAAGAAATAAAAGTATACACGTGGAAGCCCTTAACAAAATAGAAAATTCCCACTAGGTACCTAGTAGTATTTTATTTCTTTCATATTTTCTGGTTAACTCAAGATTTGCTTTTTATTTATATATATATATATATAGTCTTTGAAAACCTGGATATTAAGTAAAGGCTGAATTACAAAAAAAAACTCTTAAAGTGAATGAATAGGAAACTCAGAGGCTTTTTTTATCAATGCTGGGAATTAAACCCAAGGCCTTGCACATGATATGCACGCACTCTGCCATTGAACTACACCCAGGACTTTATATCTTGATATATTTAAATACTCTAAGAAATGTGCTTATACTTTGGAAATTATCAAACTCTCAGCAAGATCTACTGTGTTCGGTCAGGCATGTAAAATTTATAGCACTCATTTTCTTCACGGGAGAGGGGCCTCTGGAGGATTTCTGGAGCATCCTCTGGTGAAGCATGCAGAAAAAGTGACAGTGCTTTTCCAACTAACTGGTCTGAAAGGCTGGCCAGTATGTATTTAAGATAGATATTTAAGCCATTTAAAAGCTCTCATCTAGTTTCCCTATTATGCTACAGCCCAAAGCACACATAACTGTACTTTGTAACAGGTAATATCAGAAGCATTCTAGGAAACTAAGTCTTTTCTTTTAGAAACATCACTCTCATTCTCATGGAATACTTAATAAAATGAGCAAATAAGATTAAGCTTTTTTAAAAAAAGCTAAACACTAAATAGAGCTTATAATATTTTGAAGGGTCATGAATCTATTTAGTAAATGGACTTCTGCTTGTCTAAAAGTAAATGGAAATGCACTGTATCTTTTTCAAATAAATGGGTGGCATAATTGGTGGGCAAACCTACTCACCAGGCTATGAGAGATTTTCTATAGTCAGCAAGGGGGAGAAAGGGGGACAGAAGCATAATATTTTAAATGCAAGAGAAAACTAAACCAGTTTCGTCCCTCATTCTCTGAAACCATTTCTCAACAATAGTTCTTCTCTGACTCAAGTCCATTTGTGATGGCTATGAAATTATCAAAGCACTTTTATTATAGATAAACAGTGACTGTGCCACCTTTATGAAATTCCACGTTGTTTTATAAAGCTTTAGCACAAATGAAATTGTTAAAAAATCTTGATCAAGTTTTACCTAGAGGACAGTGTTTACCTATTATTACTAACACTAAAAGTGGAGTTTCTAATATATTTTTCATAAAACTTCTATACAATATTTTGAAATTTATATCAAACTTAAATTCTTTCTAGATTTTTGTAGTCAAATTCTCCTAGAGGTTTTCATTCCTGATGTTTGACCACATAGTCTCAATGATGCTAAGCATATGTTTTACTGAAATTACTTTTTTCTTGGGTTTCATTAAAGCAATAATAAAAACATCCATTATAGAAATCAACCTAATTAGCCATCCCAATTTAGAAACAGACTCTGCTTTTGGTTTCTTTGCTAAATTTTTCTTAGGCCGACAATGGTTTGCCAATTAGAGATTCAACAGAAGAAAGAACACCATTAAAAATGTGAACAGTCTGAGGATATAATCTTAACTGAAACAAATAAGTCACACATGTATAAATACTGAATAGTTTCTCTGGTGTGAAAAACTATAATGGTACATAAGATACTGATGATATAACTGAAATGCGAAATAGGAAGAAAAGGGCTAAAGGTATAGGGGAAGTGGGAAGGGTAGGGGAAAGGGAATAAGGGAAAAGAAAAAAATATGAGAAAATGACAAAATGGAAACAAAGTGTTTGTAAATGGGGAGAGGAGGAGGGGGTGAAGGGAGGGCAGGGACAAGGGGAAAAATGAGAACCAAGACCTGTCATGTAAAGGTACAAGATCCCAATGATGAATGTAACTGTACTGTATACCTATAATGTACCAATAAACTCAATGAGAAAAAAAAATGTGAACAGTCACTGTTCTAACTTAAAAGGTAGACATCACAGATACAAAACAGCTATTTGAATTTAAAAAATAAAATAGCTCAAACATTGCCACACTACCATTTAGAGTCAGGTTATCCTGTTACTACTCAAAAATAATAATACTCAAAGAGAAACTCATTAAAGTTTATAAGTATAAAACCAATTGGAAAGGAGTCCAAGGTTTTTAGCTATACTACTACTAAGTACTAAATTCTTATTTTATATACTACAAACATTCATAGCAAAGTCACAAATTTCAAACTCTAAAATGTGATAAAATTGACTGGTGAATTTTGAATGGTAATTTTTTTTTTAGTTTTTCGAGACAGGGTCTCACTATGTTGTTGAGACTGACCTGGAACTCACTGTGCAGCCCAGGCTGGTCTCGAACTCACAGCGATCCTCCTGCCTCAGCCTCCCGAGTGCTGGGATTACAGGCGTGTGCCACCACGCCCAGCTTGGTAATGTTTTTTTAAAAAGCACTCTCCCCAACTCTTTTTTTTTTACCATTAAGCCATAGATCTCAGAAGAACTCCGGACATTGGGAAGAATTTCCATTGGAATTCCAAAAAATCTGAAAAACAGTAAGTTTGAGTATATAACACTGTTCTAAACAAACTTCTAGAAATATTTATATGTAATCAAAGGCAAATGTGTTAAGAATTAGAAGATGGATGCATCTAAGCAGAGTTAAAAATAATAGTTAAATATAGGTACCAGAAGATCATATTTGGATACTTGGATATTTAACATTCTACCTTTATGCAATCAAAATTTAAAAGCACACATGGAAACCAAAGTACTCTTTTAAAAAGAAACCTGAGCCATGAAGAATAATTAATTTGTCCTGTTTATTATATATACAATAGTAGTCCCTCCTAAAAAACTACAAAACAAAGACTTGTATATACGGTTGAAATATCAACAGTTTAATATTGGTGCCCCAATGACATCTAAAAATAGTAAGATTTAGGTTAAAAATAAATAACATACAGGGGAAACTATATTTAGTATAAAACACAACTCACTCGCAGAGCTCTTTATCCCATTCCAAAGAATGAATGTTGAAAAGCATTGTCCTACTTGCATTTGTTACATCTGTGCAGTGAACACCTCCATGGACTCCTCCTGTTAAACTCTAGACAGAATAAAAAGGAGAAGTTAAATTTGTACTTATTTCCAATTAAATTTACATACTGTTAAGGGCCATGGACATTACACAGTACATAAACACAAATAAGTGAAACTAATTTTAATAAATGCTTTTATTTCACCCAAAAGATCATTTAAACATGTAAGCAATATAAAAATTATTACTGATACATTTTACCTTTTTTGTGCTAAGTCTTTGAAAATCATTGTGCATCTTATACTCATGGCACATCTCAATTCAGACTGAATGCATTCCAGTACTCATAGCTACATGTGTTTAGTGACTATCTTATTAAGCCAATTCTAGTTCATCAGTGCGCAAACAAACAAAAATATCAGTTATGTATTCATCTTGCTTTTAGAAAATTCAGTCTCATTAAATTTGGCTAGGTGAAATAAATGGAAATGTTTGCCTCCCAAGGATTTTAGAGAAATCTGAGTTGTTAATGCGCGCGCGCGTGTGTGTGAGTGTGTTTTCCTTTCTAACAACAGACACTGGGCTGTGAAGCACATGTCCAGAAAGCAGATTTTTAAACTCTCTGAATTATCACCCTACCACCACAACTGGAAGCAATGATGCCTTCCTATATGCAGAAATAGTAAGAAGTAAAAAAGGAACTAAAAATTCAATAAGTAATATACCATGTGGTACAGCCAAATTGTCTTCCCTGCAGTCTCCCACAGCTCATAGTCCCTACATCCTGCTCACTCTGGTCAAAGCAATACTCAGAACTACTTATTCAACTCTGCCTGGCACATGGGAAAACTGGCCATGAACATAAAGCACAACCTGCCCTGGTCAAATACAAAGAGGGGTAGAAAAGGCAACAGCTTTTTCTGGAAGTGGCTCTCTGAAAGACCTACTCTGTGGATGTGGCAAGTGAGAGGGTGTTCAGTGTTCCCTTGATATTCTTGTGAATGTTGATAAAATTCATCACAAACTCACTGAAGTATTTACAAATGAAATTATATGTCTGGGATTTGCATTAAAATTATCTGTGGGGAGAAAGAGTATGCGAGTACAGATTGGTCCATAGGTAGAAGATCGCTGCATCTTGCTCACTACTGAAGATGTTTATTACACTATTCCTGCTACTCCTAGAAACACTGGAAAATGACCATAATAAAAACCACAGCGAGAGAGGTAGTGAGAGAGACAGAGAGAACCATCACAAGACATTTACTTTTTATTTATTCATGTTCAGCTTAGGCAAAAGGACTGTTTTAAAAGAAATTTCTCTTATCACTTAGTTTCATATTATGGTTTGATTATATAAGGGACAGCTGTGTAATGTCTAAAGTAAATGATAAAAGTAGCCCCGGTGTTTTCTCATGTTAAGTTGTTATTTCTTCTAAGAAATGGCTAGTGGGAAAGAAGTGTATAATAAGCAAGAAAGAAAGGCAACCTAAATTATTCTAAAGATAACAGATATGAGATATGGTTTTGGTAATTATCCTCCATTTTCACTGACACGAAACCAGAAAAAATAAAGAGGAAGTAGTCAAAAGTGTCTCTCTCAAAATGGAGGCTGAGGCGTTCTGCTATCTTTTCTTTGCTAGTTTTCCTCAACAATGCTGCTACTTAAAGTTTGAACTGTTGGTAGAAAATGTCAAGCAAGGCACTCTCAAAGATTTCAGAAAAAGTTTTCCATACATTCTCCAGAATTCTACATACATTGTGCAAACATACCCAAATAAGCCATGAATCAATGGTCCCAAAAAGAGCTCTATTTTCTTCAACAGCCTTTTGGACTTTTCTCACATTGTCAAGGAGCCAGCGAAGTTTCACTGCACTGAAGTAAGTGCTAAGTGGAAGGCCTGTCTTGGACTAAAACAGTTAGGAAGTTCAATCAGCAAATTAAATTTAAAACAGTTGAAAACTGAACCTTCAAGCCAAAGAACTAAAAAAAAAAAAAAATCACAAAATAGTTAATGGTCCTAAAGGCAATCCTATTGTATTATGACATACTATTCCTATCTCATGACACACGTTCATGAACAAAGATCAGAGTAATTATGTTTGCAGTTCAAAGAGCATCCACGTAACAAAGCGAAGAGAAAATTAAAGAACACAACATCCTGTGATTTAACAGCAACAATGGTGATGTTAACTTTTGCAGTCAGTTACTATAATATGTAGAACCTAGCCTCAAACTCTGCAGTTTACATTTCATGAAATTGATGAAACTACTGACAATCACAGACTATGTCAAATCATAAACTAATATCCATTACACACAAATACATATTCAAATAACACATTAAAATAGTCAGGGTGAGTAAAGTCGAGCTAAAAAGACATGCCAGATTAACCAGAGTTGCTCTAAGGAAGCATCTGACTACTGTCAGCAAATATATCAAACAGAAGGCGTTTAGACAGAAAAACGGCTAAAGGGTAGAAATGAAACGCATAGGAGCTTATCAGGCTTCCTCGAGAATGGGTCAGGCCCAACTCTTACTTCTGTTACTATACTAAATATCAATTTCTGTATGAAGGCTGATTAAAGTTAAGTAGTGAAGCCCAATGTGGTATTGCATTCCTGTGTGTAATCCCAGCTACTATGAGAAGCTGAGAGAGGAGGACTGCACGTTTGTGGCCAGCCTGGGCAATTTAGCAAGACCCTAACCTGTCTTCAAATTCTAAAGCAAATAAAAATGTCTGGGACTGCATCACATTGGAAGAGCCCTTGCCTAGCTTGCGTGAGGCCCTCGGTTCAAGCTCCAGCACACAAAAAATAATCAGGTTAAGTAGTTAAGAAGCACATACATGGAAATAATACAACTACTTTTCTTTTCTCTGAAACCTATTCTCATTTATCACTGAACTATAGAAAGTGAAACCTTTTCCCTTCTTGTCTCATATAAAAAAAACTCAAACCACAGTATTTAAAACTTACATGCAACCTGTAAATTAAGAATCTCAACTCAAAGTTTTCTAGTATTCCTAGGGGAAGAAAGGATCAATGCTCAGAAATAATGGAAGAAATAACTTACAGAAATATAATTTGACTTGAAGGACCAAGGTCCCTTTGTGGGAAGAAAAAAAAAAAAACACTGAGACACAATTTAATCCCTTTTCAGCAGGTTAACCTTGGAGTATTATTATTTCAACCGACCATAGGAAGAGAAAGATAGGAAGGTAAGGCTTGATTAGGCCTCAGTTGTCTGCAGGAAATGTTCTATACATTGTATCAAATAATTATTCTCCCATAAATGTAAGGCCCAGATAATCTTTTCAGTGAAATTTGTAAATTTCTTCTTTAAACAAACATTCATTTGGTATATTTTTGAAGAGATCTCTTACCTTGACAAAGTTATTATTTCCTGGAATTCTTTTACTAAGATTCTCAACGGTAGACTGGGTTCTTAGATCAAGCCACACTATAGACCAAAATATAATAATTCATATGAAAAACTTCATAAAATAAGAAGTTAATGAAATCACTGTCAAGGATAGGAGACCGATTAGTCTTCATAAGCAATTAAAATGCTGTAGCTTTTTAAAGAAATTAGATAATTAGAAATGAATGTGGATATTGTTAGAAGAGAATAAATTTATAGGGAATATTTAAAGCATTTATGCAAAATTACAGACCATGTGAGAAGAACAATACAAACTTTTGTGCTTTTATTTGTTTTTTTAATAGGTAAACAATTATGAAAATGTTGAGAATATGGATCTTCTAAGTCCATACAAGTACAGAGAAGGCCTAAAAGCTAAACAGGCTGGTTGGTAGTGCCAAATACATAGGCCAGGATAAACTGTGTATTTTAGAAAACGTGGGTGCAATCTATGACAAAGACAGAGGATCTAACCTTATTACTGAAGGAACAAAATATCTAGTTTCACATGTATGAAATGAGTATTTACGTTAAAATCTTTCAAAGTATACTAGACCTAAAAGAAATTTTTAAAGTCATCATTCTTTGCTATGCTGCATTAAAGGAAAAAAATCTTCACTTTAATGGATGAACATTACTAAATTACCCTTAGGCGACAGTATCTGTTTTGCTTCATGACAGAAAGCTTGAGGAAGAGAAATTATTAAATAGCACATACATCAATCCTGAGAAGCAACCAATAAAGATTGATCCACTGAGCTTTGTAAGATTTAGTTTTGTACTTAACTTTAATAACTTTTGATCTACCCAAGGTCACTTGATATTTTTAGGACACTGACTGTGCTTAGATGCCTCCTGAAAAACTTCAGGCCCATAGTTTGAACTCCAGAGAAGGTAATACAGGTCGCCTAGTATACATTTGAACGCTTACAGTTATTGTCTAGTTTGGTTCACTCTTAACTATATTACTCTGTTCTCTTAATTTAAAATTCTTTCCTGTAATGAATTTTAATCAATTCTTTCTAATTACCTAAACTATCCTTTCCCCTGAGGTCCCTATTGCTTGATTTTGACAATGGCTATTTCTCATAAGATTTAAATCAAGGACATCAAGACATAGTATTTTCCAGGGCTGGGGATTTAGCTGAGTGGTGCCACCACCTGCCTCACAAGTGCAAGGTCCCAAGTTCAAGCCTCGGTACAAAAAAACAAAGACATAATACTTTCCATAGGTGTAAAACACAGCAAGAAAAAAAAAGACTCATCACAACCACAAAAACAGAAACAAAAAGAAGACCATGAAAATACATGGTCCTTAGATGAGATCTGCATTTGTTGCCCAACATATGCTCTTCTTACATCTGGAAGCAGTATCTTAAATTCTCAAGGAAACCAACTCTCTCTCTGTCCCTTGCTCCCATATTGGATCTGGACTCCAATAGTTGATTCAAGAGAGGATATGTGGTTGAATAGCCCGGTGAGATTTGTGCTTGGTCTGCAATAGTTTCTCTTCTCAGCTAAGTTTGGCAGTGTGTGACTTGAGTCCGCTTCCCTCCTGAAGGGAGATCTGAATCTGCCATGTAAGAAACTATACTAGAACAGACCAACCTGAGGGAGATCCAGGTGATACTGAGTTCAGAATCAAATAGCAGCTAAACTAAGCTACTCTTGGATGGCTGGTGCCACTAAACGAAAGAATTCCTCTTCTTTTTGCTTCACTGAGTTAGTTTTCTATTATTTAAACTCTAACTGATACAAGCCATTAGTGACATTATTATGGAGGTGGCAAGATCTTCCATGCCCAGGAAATCAGGGAACCCAGTTTTTACACAGTAGCAATACTATATGACTGTGACAAAAGGGGACCTTCCTTAAGGTCAAGCAACCTTAGCCAGTGTTATTGGCTTAACAGGAATAACTGGGAAAAAAGGAATAATTAGAGAGAAAAGTTTTAAATCTGTGATAGAATGAACAAGTACTTTCTAGTCCTCAGTGTTTCAAACTACAGTGAGCTATGACTTTAAAAATGAATTTAGTGAGTTTTGATATCTACTTTACAAAATGAAATAGAATATATTGGAATGGTAAATATTATAGCCCAATGTACTTGGTAAAATAAATATTGATTTATGAAACTCAGTTAGGTGGGTTTAGTGAGTTTAAAAATTAAAATATATTTTATTTTATCAAGGGACATGAACAAATACATTTGAAAGTCACTGTTCCAGGTTTTTTGTTTACTGTCTTAAACCATCTAGACCAAGATTTTCTTATATTTTAATGGACACACATTCACTAGGGAGCTTAAAGATGAATGCTATTCCCCCAAATTCTGGGATAGTAGGTAGGTCTGGAAGAGGGGCCCATAAAATCACCTTTTAAGTAAGTGTTCCACTTTGAGAAAATGTGGGAGAATCCATACCAGTGGTTTTTACTTAGAAATCATACCAGAACCACCGGGAAAATGTTGAAATCACACATCTAGGCCCTAGCTTGTAGTATTCTGGTTACAGGTCTAGGCAAGGCCTGAGCCTCTCTACTCCAGGTTATCCAATATAATATTAAAACTTGACACTCTCTTTTGTACAGCATGTTCTTTAGGATACTAGATGCATTCCAATCATTTGTTGAAAAAACAAAACTAAAAAAAACTAATAATTAGGAGGCTCCCTGAGTCCTAGTGGCTCTGTGACTATTAATTTTTGACTCTATTACTACTTTTCTCCTCACTTGAAGGCTTGCAGTTATTCAACAGCGGTATCCACAAAGTTAAGTCTTCATCACAAAGGATTAAAACACGGGATGTGAAATGTGAAACCAAAGTTTTACATTGCTGCCATAAACAAGTTTTATGACTTAGGCAAGTCACTTTACCCTTCTTGGTTTCTATTTTCCTTAATATAAAAATAAAGATCCTGGACTAGATGATCTCTAAAATCCTCCTCCTTCCATTATCTCATGATCACAGGAGGCTGTTGAAATATTTACTTTGTTTTTATAGCTAAAGACTTTAAGGTAATTAAAATACATGGAATCAATTAGTAAAAACTACTAAAGATAAAAATGTCAGTGGTTGATACACTACCAAGCAATTCACGAATGCTCAAAATTAATTTAATTAAGAACAAAAAAATTAGACAACTCATTAAAGAAGCTAAGACAGCAGAATTAGAATTGCAGAATAAGAGACAAAAAGCCAAAGAGAAGATCCCCAAGCTGGAGGACTAAGCCCCTCGTGTAGGTAATTTCTGAAAACAATCAAGTGACACATCTAGATCTGGTAGCAGCAGTCAATTTCCCCCAACATGTCTGAGTTGGAAGGCTAGGAAGTGAGCAATAGCCAGGACACCAATACCTGAGGAAGTACCAGCAGCTGGAACTGAAGAGCCAGAGGAAACAACGGCAACTGGAACTGAAGGGCCAGGAGAAACTGGAGCAGCTGGAGCATTAGGAGAAATAATGGCAATTCATGCTAGAGATGGCCAGATTCAAGGTCTATAGACTCCTGTTGACCACTTAGGAACTGGTAGATCCCTTGGGTAAGTTTATCAGAATGAACATTTTTCTACACATGTGAGTGTAAGAAAAGCAAGCAACAAGAAATAGAAAGGGAACACAGGAAGTCTGGTCTGAATGTCTGCTTCAGTAGTATTTCCATTTGATGAAGACCAGGTAATCATCTGCTTCTTCAGCACGGCTCTTCCTATCTGGCAACATGCACACATTCTAGTTAGAAAAGTGGCTTGGTCACTTGACCACTGATGTATGATGTATTGAGGGAGCACATTCCCAGGGGATGAGAGAAAGGAATGCTCAAGAGCTCACTACAATCTCTGTTGTAGGCATCTGCTAGAAGATATGAATGGGATGCTTTGGGAAAGCATGGCCCAGGAAGCACTTTCTAGGTAGGGTGGTTGGAAGTAAAGGATCAGCATGACTAAAGGGATCAGGGAATTGCTAACTTCCAAAATGATTAGGGAAAAAATATAAAAAGAATAGATGCTAGGGAGTTCAGAACACTATACAGCCTGTTTCTAGAAGGTATATCCTTCGTCTAGATCAAGTAAATTGGAATTAAAAGGTCTAGACAATAAAATGAATAGGTTAAAATTTTTTGGATGATGGAAAACTTTGTGTTAAAGTTACATCCATTATGTGTCTGGTTGACTCAGTTTGTTCTGAAAAAATGTTGTAAGAGTAAACGAAAAGGTAGTTGCCTCAATCCCTATGGAATAACATTAGTTTAGTGATATACTAAGAGTCCAGAAGAAGGCATTATTTTTAGGGTATTTAAAATAACAGACCTCAGGGGCTGGGGATTTATTTAGCTCAGTGGTTCGGTGGCCTGCCTGGCAAGCGCAAGGACCAGAGTTCAATCCCCGGTACCAAAAAAATAAAAAATAAAAAAATAAATAACAGACTTCAATGTATGCATTATGTATCACAAACATGTACTAAGAAAAATTATAAAGTAAAAAGAATCTTACAAATTTGCATGAATTTTGGAGTTATAATAATACAAGGAAAAAGTATCTAAAACAATATAAAAACTAAAAACAAAACAAAACAAAACAAACAAAAAACACTGAAAGCATCTAAATTTTTCCCAGTTGGCTAGAAACAAAGGGAAAAAGTAAATCTCTTCTGAGATGGTTTGTCCTGATAAGAAGTGAGAGGAGAGGCTCCAGGCTGTGGAACACATCCTAAGCAAGGACTACTGACAGTTACACGGTGTTATTAGGTTATTTCCCTCAAAAACATAATAACTATAAAACATATGTAACTACTATGTTTTATCATGTGCGAAGTTATTAATTAAGCTGAATAAGTGGTCATTTGCAAAGGAGTAAAGACTATATTGATGACTGCTCCTCACTTGATGACATTTTGAGAAACAGGTCCCTTCCCCTCCAAAAAAAAAAAGAAAAGAGTGAGGTAAGCAGAAGTAAGTTAAAAACTATTTCCTATGCTGGGTTGTGGTACATTCCTGCATTTCCAGAACTCTGGAAGGCTGAGGCAGGAGGATTGTGAGGTGAAGCCCACCCTGGGCAACTTAGTGACTTAACAAGCTCCTATTTTAAAAAATCTTAAAAAGCCGGGGATGTAGTTCAGTGCAAAGGCACTAGGTTCGACTTCCAGCATTGTAAAAACAAACAAACCTCTTTCCTCATAGGTGTGTATGTGTGTGTGTGTGTGTGTGTGTGTGTGTGTGTGTGTGTGTGCACAAGCACACACGTACCACAGGATACGGGCTGAAATCTACTTCAACTCTTAGTTGTATAATAAGAAAAATGCCAAAGACAAACTTGAGTGTGGGTAGCCCTAGGTAGATTCTGCATTTTTCCTATGAAAATGTGTCATATATAAACCAATCGTTTAACTGGCCTTACTGGATTAAGAAGGCTATTGGCCACTCAGGAACGGTGTCTACAACCAACACTGGAGCCTTACAGTTTGCCAGATACTGGTTTACATATCCTACACGAATCAATTCACTGATCTTCAGTGCAAGCCTATGAGGTCCATACATGTTTTTTTTTGTGTTTTGTGTTTTTTTTTTCAATTTTCAGGACATTCCTTCGTTTTTTATTTTTATTAGTACGTGTGTTCAGTACATAAAGTTAGATACACATTTTTAATTTCTCCTGCTTGACTGTTAAGGGAAAAGGCACAGAATGGGCAGCAAAAGAAAGGAACCCTTCCCCATTATTGGTTGGAGTGCAACCACTATGGAAATCAACATGGAGATACCTCAGAGAACCAGCATTACAGGTCCCATTTGACCCAGCCATCCCTCTGCTGGGTAGCTTTCCAAAAGAATTAATAGAATAATACCAAAGCAATATATGTGGACCCATGTTTATAGCGGCACAGTTTGTAATAGCTAAAACTTGGAAACAACCCAAATGCCTCTCAACTGGAGACTGGATAAAGAAGATGTGGTTTTTCTATAAAATGGAGTACTACTCAGCCATAAAGAATGAGAAACTAGAGTCACTGATAGCTAAATGGATGCACATTGAGGCAATACTCTTAAGTGAAATAAATAGGACACACGTGTGTAAATAGTGAATAGTTTCTCTGCTGTGAAAAACTAAATGTGTAAACAAGAGTCAAATTATATAATTGATAATGTAGGGTAGGGGAAAGGAAATGAGGGAAAAGAAAAATATGAGAAAAGGAAAAAATGGACACAGTCTTTGTAAATGGGGAAGGGTGGAGGGGGTGAAGGGAGGGCAGGGATATGGGGAAAAAATGAAGACCAAGATCTGTCATGTAAAGGTACAAGATCCCAATGATGAATGCAACTGTACTGTATACCTAAAATGTACCAATAAACTCAATGAAAAGGATTGTATAATTGATAATGTGAAATAGGAAGAAAAGGTATAAAGGAGTAGGGGAAGTGGGAGGGGTAGGGGAAAGGAAAGAAGGGAAAAGAAAAAATACAGGAAAAGGAAAAAAGGTAAACAGTCTTTGTAAATAAGGAAGAGTGGAGGGGGTGAAGGGAGGGCAGGGGTATGGGGAAAAAATAAGAACCAAGATACATCACGTAAAGGTACAAGATCCCGAAAGGGGCTAAAGGTGTAGGGAAAGTGGGAAGGGTAGGGGAAAGGTAATAAGGGAAAAGAAAAAAAAATAGGAGAAAATGAAAAAATGGAAATAAAGTGTTTGTAAATGGGACGGGGAGGAGGGGGTGAAGGGAGGGCAGGGACAAGGGGAAAAAATGAGAACCAAGACCTGTCATGTAAAGGTACAAGATCCCAATAATGAATGTAACTCTACTGAATGCCTAAAATGCACCAATAAACTCAATTTAAAAAAATGTCCAAGATCCCAATGATGAATGTAACTGTACTGTATACCTAAAAAGTACCAATAAACTAAATAAAAAAAACAAAAAGGCAGCACAAAATCTAGGATTTGAACCCAGAGTTTGAATTCAGAATTACACCTCTATAATATAAGTGTGCCACAATGAATTCATAGTCATAAATGTGATGAAAAGAGCTATTAAGAATTAGAGGTCTCAAATCTTGGCCAGCTACACTTTGGACAAAGGATTAATATGCAGAATACATAGTGCTCGCTTCGGCAACATATATATTAAAATATGTAGAACACATAAAGAACTCAAAAAATGAACACCAAAAACTCAAACAGCCCAATTAAACGGGCAAATGGACTAAACAGACACTTGTCAAAAGAAAAGGACCAAAGGCCAATAAGTATATGGAAAAATATTCAACATCTTTAGCCATTAGGAAAATGTAAATCAAAACTACATAGAGATTCCATCTTCTCTCAGTTGGAATGGCTATCATCAAGAATACAAAAAAAATACTAAGTGCTGGCAAGGATGTGGGGAAAAAAGAACCCTTCTACACCACTGGTGGGGATGTAAATTAATATGGAAATCAATATGGAGGTTTTCATAAAACTAAAAAGTGACCATTTGATCCAGCTATACCATTTCTTGATAACGTCTGAAGGAATTGAATTCAGCACACCATAGGGATAGCTGAGTACCCATTTGTAACTGCAGCATGAGATACAGTGCAATAGCCAAGATGTGGAACCAACCTAGGTGAACGGATATTGAAAATGTGTATATATACAAAATGGAGTATTCAGCCATACAAATCAAAATTTTGTTATTTGCAGAAAAATGGATGTATCTGGACATTGTGTTGAATTAAATAAACCAGACTAAGAAAGACAAATATCACATGATCTCCCTAATCTGTAGAATCTTAAAAAGATGACAAGAAAGTGGATGGAAGACTATTATTAGACACAAGGAAGAAGCGGGGGGGAGGGGACATAAGGATGATAAGAGGACAAGAATAAGATCAAAATGCGTTATGCACATTTGAAATCCCACTCAAATATGAAACTAGTGGGGAAAGTGAAGAGGAATGATAGAAAAAGAGATTAAAGTGCATTATGAGCATGTATAAACCTGCCAAAATAACTCATTAATCTATATAACCAATACGTACTAATAAAGTGGAAAAAAAACATGGTAAAAATCTGAGAAATCAGCTAGGCATGGTGGCACATGCCTGTAATCCCAGCACTCGGGAGGCTGAGGCAGAAGGATTGCTTTGAGTTTGAGACCAGCCTGGGCTACACAGTGAGTTCCAGATCAGTCTGAACTACATAGTTAGACCCTGTCCCAAAAAACCAAAACCAAACCAAACCAAAACAAGAAAACAAAACAAAAAAAAACCCTCTGAGAAATCAATGGATCCTGACCATAGTGTTTTGCCCCAGGAAAGAGAAAGAGTTTAAGGTATTGTGTGAAGAGATCTTTGTGAGACAGACGAGAACTGGGAGAATAAACCTGGAAAAAATATTAGAGGTCTCAAAGTTGAAATCTAAATCAATTTCTTTTTATTTAAACTAGCCAATGTTGAAGAATTCAATCACTGAAAA